ATCACCACCAGAACTTTCCAAAGGCACAAAGAGGCACCAAATGCAGAGAAGGAAGCACAAAACTGACTGCAAATATTTGGAAATGGGAATACAGAAAAATTATTGACAGAGTGCCATATTACATCATTGATTTTTAAGCAAAACTCCCCATCGATGCTCCAGACCCACACTGAACATTTCAGAATCATTGATTTTAATGGGGAGTTCTGCCCCGCGATCGATGGCACAGCACAGCCCAAAGTAAATTGCTTCTTAGTATCAATATTTTTTTGCCCAAGCTTGTGCAAGGTGGAAAACCATCTCCAAGTGCACAGCCTTTGTTTTTCCAGGTGGGGTCTGAGGGAGAGGTGAGGATGGCAGGGGATGGAGAAGACAGGGCTGAGGAGGAGGGGCTCTTTGGGGCTGCCTCTCTCCCTCAGAAATGCCTTTGCATTAGCAAGCAAGTATCTTAATTAGTTTTTTAATTGTTATTTACAAGGTGCTGGGGGCTGCCCTCCCTGCTCAGGACCCTGCAAGTGGCATCACCTCAGCTGGGCTCCTCCTTCCCTCTCTTTGGCCCCAAACCTTCCTGCATGAATTGCTGATGGTTCAGGCAGAATTCTCCTTCCCATGACTGAATGTCTAGACAAGCCAACAGAGCTAATGCAGCGTGATCAATACCTGTAAGTACAAAACATCTGCGGTCCCAAAATCCAGAGAGCAGCTCCCTCCTTTGGGAGACCCTGCTGGGCCCTGGGCTGCCAGGACAGCAGCCAGGGGCAGCCACATCCCGCACCAGCCCCTCTGCCAACAGCACGAGGGGCTGGGGGTGTACATAGGATTGGGAATACGTGTTTCCTCGCTTCTTTTATACATTGTGGCTCTGTATTTTTGTTGCTTGCATCTCCTCGGTGAATGGTAGCGAGGCACGTGAAAACAGGCATTTGGCTGCCAGGTTTAATTGTGGACTAAGCCAAAAAGCCAGAGTTTGTGAAACAGAACTAACTGTGACTGGAGGCTGCAAAAACAGGGCAAATAGGAAAAAGCAGGTTCTCTGTAAATGAATGTGTCTTTATTTCAATGGCTCTACAGTTCAATGCCTGATGGAGTTGTTTTCGATAAAAAAAAGATAAACTTAAAAAAAAAAAGAAGAAAAAAGTTGCCATAATTGTAATAAAGGTCTCATTATTAAGGGCCATGCTAAAAGCATTGTTTATTTTTCGATGGCTGATGTTGATAAAGGGCCAGGGCACCTCTCAGGTGAGGGCTGGAAGGACGCTGCACGCGGAGCTGCTCCAGCCTCACGACCACGGCGAGCCTCGGGAGCGGGGCTGGGGGCTGGACCAGGCTGTGTGTCCCCAGCCCGGGGCTGGAGCGTGGCTGCACAGCACATGGTGCCCTGGCTCCCCTCGTCACCGCGTCCTCGTCGCGAGCACCGGGGCTCGCGAGCTCTCAGCGTGGTCCTGTGGTGTGATGTGCCTGCAGCATTGACTCATGTGCCATAACCCGATATTGAATGCATTGTTTTTAAATAAAATGGTTTCTTGTGCATTGGGAGTCTGTAAAACTCCACTGCCTCTGCTCCTTCCTTATTACTGTTTCCCGAACTGCTCGGGGCCACTGATAGGTTTTACTGGAAAACTTCACCAGAGGAGTTGCCAAAGGTGTTGCTTAATGCTCCCTCTATTTCATTACACAGTGCAACAAGCTCAGTGTGACGGATCAAATTCTGCACTCCGGTGGAATACGTGAAGATACGTGTGGGAATCTGGGCACTGATGGGCTCAGGCTATTTGCTCATTAAGGTGAAAAACATCCCCAGGAACATTTTACAGCCCACTGCTGTTGCTTGTTCCGGGTGCCTCGCTGCTTGCTGCAGCCCTGTGGTGCCCTCAGCGGCTCCTGGCAGGAATTCTGCCGTGTGTTTTTAGGAGTTCTCGTGAACTCCCAGGACAGAGTCCCTCAGGCTGGCGGGCACAGGAGCAGAGCCACGTCAGATCCTTTGTGCTATCTGTGTGCTTCCCACCACTGCTCATGTAGTTATCCTTGAGACCATCCTGGCAGAGAGGCAGGGATTTATAGTCCTAAAACCCAAATTGGGGATGGGGATGGGATAGGGAAAATCCTGTCCTTCCTCTCCCACTGCTAAATGTGAGGGAGGCTCTGCTGGCCATTGGTGCTGGGGCTGGAGGGTGCCAGTGGCCAGCATGGGTTGAGCCCCCCAGCCCATGTCCAGCTGTGCCTCCATCCCTGGGAAAGTGTCCTGAGGGGCTGAAGCTGCACCTCTGCAGAGAACAGGCTTGCAGCAGCAGTTTCAAAATGCCAAAGAAAACACTTGCAATGTTTGTTTAAAAGCAGGTGGAAATGACACCTGCAGGCCCTGGCCGGCCGGTGACAGCCACTTCAGAGAAGTCCCTGTGCCTTGCCGTGTCCTGCACTGAGGTGTCACCCTGGAGTCACCCTTTCCTGCGTGGTTTGCCTCAGGTGCCGGGTGTGGGTGCTGCAGGGCACTACAGAGACCAGGAGAGGAATTAAATTTCACATCCCTAGGGGAGCCACAGCCCAAAGCAGAAGGATGCTGGGCAAGAAAGCTCAGCCAGGCCAGGTCAGCCTCCAGGTTTGGACATCCCTGGACACCCCACCGCTGCCTCTTTGTGGGGGAGCCCTGGCTGCAGGCAGAGAGGAGAAGGAAAGCTAACAAAGAAACTCCCTCCTCCCTCCCCCAAGAGCAGAGGGAAAGCCTCTGGCAAAGGCAGCCATGCAGGCAGGGAACGCTGTCCTGCTGGGCAGCCGAAGCTCGCTGGGCTGGAAGCAGCAGCAGGCACCCGGCACTGCTCGTGCCCACCGTGCCCGGCTGACAAAGGACACCCAGCACTCTCCTGCCCCCGAGGACAGGCACAGCCCCAGCACCCTCCTGCTTCACAGGACAGGCACAGCCCCAGCACCCTCCTGCTTCACAGGACAGGCAGAGCCCCAGCACCCTCCTGCTTCACAGGACGGGCACAGCCCCAGCAGGATGGACCCTCTGCCTCGGCTACAGCTGCACCATCCGTGGACACTTACACCTTGATTCCCAGGGAGATTTGGACGTGGATTTGGAAAGACACCAGAACTGGGCACTACGGTGTGTAACAAAACACCCTCAGGGGATGCAGGAATCACAGGTGCAGGTTCGGAAAGAAAAGGTCAAAGGCCTGATGAATTTGTTGGAGAAGGAGAAGGCAAGGCAAGAGGAAAAGGGAGGGAAAGGGAGGGAAAGGGAGGAAAAGGGAGGAAAAGGGAGGAAAAGGGAGGGAAAGGGAGGGAAAGGGAGGAAAAGGGAGGAAAAGGGAGGAAAAGGGAGGAAAAGGGAGGAAAAGGGAGGAAAAGGGAGGAAAAGGGAGGACACAGACACCAGGACATCTGCGGCACAGATTCCCATCAGGGCCTGCCCACCCACCCTCCTCCCGCCTTACCCGCAGAGGCACCTCCGTCTCTGGAGCGCTGCACTCGCCTTTTTTCCCCAAATCAACTGCAACTTTTGTCTTCCTTTAGGAAGGACAAAAAGATTTCACGCATAAGTTGCCCTGAACAAAGGCACCTCACGCCAGGGCTTTCTTTTCTGTCTTCCTTTCTTTTTCCTTCTTCACCACAAGCTGGCAGCGGGAGGAGTAGCTGGGGGGAGCTCCACACTTTATACCCGCCTGATTAGTGCCAAAAAGCAGCTCAGAAAACACTGGGAGCTCCAGAGACGCTGTGATGGCAGCATGGGGAGAAATGGATCATTGTCTTTTGGGATCAAATCTGTAGGGAAATGGGGTGCCGCCATACACAACCTGTTCGCAAGGAGATACCAGGTGCTCTGGAGAGTGGTCTGATGATGGAGGGTCCAAAAGGTGACATTTCTCCCAATTTCCCTTCTTTTAGTTACTGGAAAGACCCAGTGGAGATGGGACTTTCACAAATAGGGTTATCAGGGCCGAGATAAGGATGACACAAAACGCAAAGACACGGCTGCTGTTGCTGCTGCTTCTGGTGAAAAGGAGAAGTAGTGAACTGCACAGCTGGGAGCAGCGGGCACAGCCCGACCCGATGTGTCTTGGCACGGGTGCCCTGCACGGGCTGTGCCACAGCAGCCAAGTCCCCTGTTTGCCAGCTCCGTGCCACGGGATGCTGTCCCCTCAGGGCCTGTCTTTGCCAGCTCCATGCCGGGGGATGCTGTCCCCTCAGGGCCTGTCTTTGCCAGCTCCATGCCGAGGGATGCTGTCCCCTCAGGGCCTGTCCTTGCCACCCCCATGCCGGGGGATGCTGTCCCCTCAGGGCCTGAGCCCGCTGCTCTCCCGGCCCGGGCCCGCCGGGCTCCGGGGACTCGCCATCCACCACACCTTGTCAACGAGCCCTGATTCAGCCGCGCTGAAGGCAACTAATAACCAACAGCACAGATCACGCTGTACCTTGGTTTGCAGCAGCGGACAGAGGCAGCAGGGCCGGCTGTGTGCAGCGGCGTCCCGGGAGCAGCCGGCTGCGGGCCTGGGCTGCGGGACCGGGGCTTGCGGAGCCGCCTGCCGGGAGGAGAGCCGCTCAGCCAGCACCGCGGATCCGCGGCGGCGGTGCTGGAGCAGCCCCGGCAAGTGCTGGGCCCGGTTCCGAGCCGCTCCCGGCGGTCCCGCACGCTACAAAGGCTGCGGAGTCTTTAACGGCCCCGCCGTCCCCTCACGTCCCCTCACGGAGGCCCCGCCCCCGGCCCCCGGCCCGCCAATGCCCCGCGCGCCCCGCCTTTCCCGCGCTCCCCGCCGCCCTCACGACCGCCCGCCCGCCCGCGCTCTCCGCCGCCCTCACGACCGCCCGCCCGCGGCGCAGGCCCGGCCCCGCGGGCGCGGCCGGGGCGGGGCGGCCCCGGACAGCTCCCACCGCCCTCAGACGGCGGCGGCGGCGGCGAGGCGAGGACATGGCGCGGGGCCGGCTCGGCGGGCCCGGCTGAGCCGCCGCTGCCCGCGGGGCGGGCGGCCCCGGGCCGCGGCGGCCGCCGCCCTCATGAGCGGATGAGGAGCGGGCGCGGCGGCCGGCGGTGCCTGGGCGGGGAGCCGGGTGCGTTCGCCATGAACCCCGAGCTGGCGATGGAGCCGCTGGGCAGCCTGCACGGGGCGGCGGGGCACGAGCCGGAGCTGATGGGCAGCCCCAGCCCTCACCACGGGCGCAGCGCGGGGCCGCTCCGGGTGCCGCCGCCGCCGCCGCCGCCGCCGCACCAGGAGCTGCCCCCCGCCGCCCGGCCCGCCATGGTGCCCAGCATGGCCTCGCTGCTGGACGGCGCCGCCGAGTACCGACCCGAGCTCTCCATCCCGCTGCACCACGCCATGAGCGTGCCCTGCGAGGCCTCGCCGCCCGGCATGGGCATGAGCGGCACCTACACCACGCTGACGCCGCTCCAGCCCCTGCCGCCCATCTCCGCCGTCTCCGACAAGTTCCACCACCCGCACGCCCACCCGCACGCCCACCACCACCACCACCACCACCAGCGCTTGCCGGGCAGCTCCGGCGGCGGCTTCGCCCTCATGCGGGACGAGCGCGGGCTGCCGGCCGTCAACAGTCTCTACGGGCCCTACAAGGAGGTGCCGGCAGTGGGGCAGAGCCTCTCGCCGCTGGGCAACGGGCTGGGCCCGCTCCCTGGCGCCCAGCAGGGCCTGCACGGCTACGGGCCGCCGGGCCACGACAAGATGCTGAGCCCCAACTTCGAGGCGCACGCGGCGATGCTGGCGCGGGGAGAGCAGCACCTGCCCCGGGGGCTGGGGACGCCCCCGGCCATGCTGCCGCCCCTGAACGGCGCTCACCACCCCGCGCCCCCCGGGCCGCCGCCGCACGGCCCCGCGCTGCCCGCCGGCCGGGAGCGGCCGCCCCCCGCCGCCGGCCCGCAGGGGAACGGCGCGGGCCAGCTGGAGGAGATCAACACCAAGGAGGTGGCACAAAGGATCACGGCGGAGCTGAAGCGCTACAGCATCCCGCAGGCCATCTTCGCCCAGCGAGTTCTGTGCCGCTCCCAGGGGACCCTGTCGGACTTGCTGCGGAACCCCAAGCCTTGGAGTAAACTCAAGTCCGGCCGGGAGACGTTCCGCAGGATGTGGAAGTGGCTGCAGGAGCCGGAGTTCCAGAGGATGTCTGCCCTGCGGCTGGCAGGTAGGTGCAAGCCGGTGCCGCTCGGGGAGCGGAGCGCGACCCTCTCGGAGCCCGGCGCCCACCGGCCGGCCCCGCAGCGCGTCCTCCGCGGGCCCGGCCCGGCCGCTTCCCGGCTCCGCCGTGAGCTCCGGGGCTGCGCGGAGCCGGCCGGTTCTCGCCTCGCGCACCCCGGCTCTGTCCGGCGGAGGGACGCGCTCCGCTACCGCTGCCGGGCGGCGGGGCCGGGGCTGCTCTCCAGGGCCGGGTGCTGAAGGTGCGCGCTCCGCTCCGCACCGCACCGCGCTCTCCGCGAACATCCCTCCCGGCGCTGCCGGGCGCAGCGGGGGAGGCCGGGCGGGGGCTCCGCGTCCCGGGACAGGCGGGGCCGGTGGGAGCGGGCGGGGGCCGGACCCCGCGCAGCCCCCGCGGCCCCGGCCCGGCCGCATTGTCCGCGGAGCGCCCGCGGGCGCCCCCTGGCGCGATCGCTCAGCGCCGCAGCCCCCATTGTTCTGCGGGGGCCGCGGGGGGGGCAGCGGGCAGCGACCCCCGGTACCGACCCCCGCACTAACCCCCGGTACCGAGCCCCGGTACCGACCCCCGCACTAACCCCCGGTACCGAGCCCCTGCACTAACCCCCGGTACCGACCCCCGGTACCTATCCCCGCACTAACCCCCGGTACCGACCCCCGGTACCTATCCCCGCACTAACCCCCGGTACCGACCCCCGGTACTGACCCCCGCACTAACCCCCGGTACCGACCCCTGGTACCGAACCTGCACTAACCCCCGGTACCGACCCCCGCACTAACCCCCAGTACCGACCCCTGGTACCGACCCCCTGCACTAACCCCCGGTACCGACCCCGGGTACAGACCCCCGCACCGACCCCCGGCAGCGCCCGCCGCGGAGGTGAGCGGGACAGAGGCAGCGAGAGCTGTCCCTGCCGTGGGGCCATGCGGGGTGCCCGGAGGTCGCTCCCGGCCGGTGCAGTGCGGGCAGGGCCCCGCCGTGGAGCACGGCCGTGACTGTAGAAGGACACGGGGGGCTGTGGCACGGACAGACCGCGCTATGGGGCGGGGGCCCTGGCCGGGGACCTCTGCTCTGACAGCGATGAAAATCCGGGGATATTTGTGTCACAGCGTCCGTCCTTCTTTTATTTCAATTGATCCCGCCGCGGGCAGATTGTTTCCCGGTGGGCAGCACATAGCGGCTTGTTCCCAGGGCTGCCGGCACACCCGGAGGGGTCTCGGGGGACACGGGGGTTTGTGTCCCCGGGAAGGGAAATGGGCACAGACAGCTCCTGCACGAGGGGCAGCTGCCGAGCCAGCCTGGGCTGCGGCGGAGCAGGGCGAAGGGGAGCCACAGATGATTGATGGCCTTAATTCCTACCCGAGCTCTAACCGGAGGTGCTGCGGGTTAAACACCCGCGGCCTGGGGTCTCCAGGATCCCCGCGGATTGCTCGGGCTGTCCCGAGGTGCGGGGCTGTGCTGCCCGTCGGGAGAGGGACGCGGATCCCCTCCTGGGCTCTGGCGCTCGCTGCCGACTCCTCTCGCCCCTTGCGGCACCCGCGGGCAGCCGGCTCTGCTCTGGTTGCAGCCGAAGGAAGGTGCCGGGGTCTGTCTGCGACACGGGCAGCAGAGGGACCGAAGGGGTTTGGGTTTTTTTGCCGAGCACGCGGTGATGTCGCCTTCACAAACAAACGTGTATCGAGAGGGAAATCGATGCAGATAATGTTTAGAAGATTAAAAGAGCATTAATGCTGGCAACAGGAGCATCAACGCGTGGACCCAGTTTTCATTGATCTGGAACCTGAGCCGGCTCATTTCCAGTAACGTGGCTGGTGCTTTTCCTTCCCAGCACTGGTCCCGGGTGGGGGTTCCCCGTGCTGCATATAGAGCAGAAAATCAGGAATCACAGCTGCATGCGGAGTTCTGCCTGTAGAATTCTGGATCTCTGCTTTAGCAGTCCCCCTGAACGCCTCTGCATCCAGGAGTAAAGTTTGGAGAGAGCTCAGGTGCTGAGTGGTCACGGACTCCCCATGGAGCGGGAAAGACCTTTGCAAATTACCTTTCCCTTCAGGAAATCGATTATTTTAATTTTCTTTTATTACCACGTGTGAGTATGCGGCCCCATTGCCTCAGCGCTTCCTTCTCCCCCTTTACTCGCTTGCTGAAATCCCTCTGAGCACGGGGGGAAAGCTGCAAGTATTTCAGGTTTTTAAAAACAGAATAGACCCAGCAGCTATTTGCCCCATACTCCTGGAATTTTTTCCCAAGTGGGATGTAAACCTGCTGTCCTCGAAGGGAAATCCCTCTCTCCCCGTGGGAGCAGTAGCAACGTGGGTGTGCTTAGTATGTTTTCTTATTATAGAAGATCTATAGTGTTGTCTATTCCAATTTCATCTTATTATTTCCGTGCTTGTTGTCTCTTCCTGGGGGTGTTTCAGACTCCTCTGGCAGGGTTTCTGTGTGGAAGGTGCGGGCAGGACCCGCTGTGGAGCTCCGGGGGCAGAGCAGCCTTTTGGGCTCGCCGTGCGCTTCTCGCAGCCGGGAAGGGCCCGAGTGCCCTCGGGGGGCTCGGAAGAACACAAAACCACCCCCGAGGGCGGCTCCATCCCGGCACCTCATCCCCAGAACGGGCTGCTGGCCCAGCCGCGTCCCGCCTGGGCACGGGGGAATGGGGGCCCGGAGCGTCCGTCCTGCCCTCCCTCCCCTCGCTCGGGAACGGCTCGGGAAGGGCTCGAGAAAGCCCCGGTGGAGCCGATGGACAGTGCCGGGCTGTGTGCGGGGTGAGCAGAGCGTTCCGCAGCCCGTTTGCCCTGTGCGGACCCGGATGGCAGAGCTGTCCATCCCCATCCCTCCCGGAGCTGTCAGTACAGTGCCGGGCTGTGTGCGGGGTGAGCAGAGCGTTCCGCAGCCCGTTTGCCGTGTGCGGGGTGAGCAGAGCGCTCCGTAGCCCGTTTACCCTGTGCGGACCCGGATGGCAGCGCTGTCCATCCCCATCCCTCCCGGAGCTGTCAGTACCACGGAGAGCGGCGCACAGGGAGCGCAGCCGGCAGCCAGAGGAGGGCAAAGGGAGGAGAGCGGGAGCAGGAACCGGACGAGCCCCGGGACAGGCGGTGGCCGCGGGCCCGGAGAGCCGAGGGTGAGCAGCAGTGGCACATCCCAGGCTGAGCCCCGCTCCCCGAGAGCTCCAAACCAAGGAAAGGACTCTCAGACGGGTGTCCACCCATCCTCTGCCTCTTTGTGCCCTACCAAATGTTTCCTCCCTGGATTTTGAGATTATTTTGTTGTTTTATCTCCAGCGAAAAATGAAGGCATGATAACATCTGTATCAGGCACGTTACCTATTTATAAAGCTATTTCTTAGCGTTGAGCTAAACATACAGGTATGTAAAGGCTCTTTGAAAGGTGTTTAGTGGTTTGAAATATTGGTGCTCTCTTCAGCTATAGATTAGTGGCTGTGTTTGAACAATCCATGCGGCAAATTGTGCTGCTGGCTGATAAATTGTATTTCTCGTGTACCAACTTTCCGAAATGATGTCCTGCCCCAGCCCTTTGTTCCACATCGTTTCTGAAGGCGTTTCTGCCACACAGAAATCTGAATCCTGTTTTTGCCAAGCAAATGAGTTTTATCGGTTTCTTGATTATTGGATAAAGTTAATTCTGGGTGCATTTTGGATGAAATGCATTTCTGTATTTTCCTTCCTACTTTTAGAAAGAAGGAATTAATTTGTCATCACGTGTTACTAATTCTGAAGCTGTTCTTCACTATTTCCTTGTAAGACTTTTCCCCCAGCATCTCTTGTTTCTTTTCTTCCCAGTGTCTCTTGCCCATCACCATTTGAACTGAAGTATCCCAAACTCAAGTATTCCTCTGCAGCAGAAAATTGCCACAATTTATTTGTGGCGAGGAATGCATAAAGGAGAGAAGACTTTTTCCAGAAGGATTATTTCCCAGTAAGCGGTGCTGGCTCTTCCCACACTCCGTAGGGGCGTTTTTGCTGTGCTGGGTGCTCCTCCCTGGTGTTACTGACGAAACCTTGTCCTGGATGTTGCTGCCGTGCAGCAGCTGCGAGAGCTTTTCCTTCCCTTCCAATTAGGCCTGGCTGGGAGATGAGAAGCTTCCTGCAGGAGCCGGCAGGGCTGTGCCGGGGCTCGGAGCACTAAAGGCTCCTCTCATCACAGCGGCTCCCCTGGAGTCAGAGTGCAGAGAGGGCTCTGCAGGTGTGCAGAGAATGCAGCTCAGAGGGAAGGAGGCCTGAAAGGACTGCAGGCATCACTTGTCCTCACAGTCTGCCCCTTTCTCCAGCAATCTCAGAGGGGGATTTCTTACCTAGGCATCTCTTCCAGGTACAAAAAACCCCTTAATGACTGGCCTTAATCTCACTTTTTGTCTTTTAAATCCTTTGCTTCTCATCTTATCCCCACTAGACACAGCAAAAAAGAGCGCTCCCTTCCTTCTGATAGCAATCTGTTTGTATTTAAGGCTCCCATCTTGTCTCCTGTCTTCTCTGGAAAAAGCCCGTCACACCTGGGCCATGAATATGCAGGGTGAGCACTATATCCAGTGGGACAGATAATACATCTCTGTTTCCAAGGTAAAAGATTTTGTATCCGGCTCTATCCATCTTGCAGACTTTTGCATAAAAGGCTCTCTGATTTATAGAGAGGTTTGCACACAGAAATCATACCAAACAGACTAATCTCAAATGGGTTTGGTGATAACATCAGCCAGACAACTCGCTGATGGCAGAGAGGAATGCAATCAAAACAGAAATTGGAGTGTTTTGGGGTTGTTTGGGGGTTTTGAGCTATGAAATCAAACTGCTCCATTGTGAAAAAAGGGACTCAAACCGCTGGTAAATGCTGCACAGAGGAATTATTAGACAAGCGATAGAGGCTGGCAGGTTCCCAAAACGCAAATTGTCTCCAGGACCAAAATATCTCTCAGTAAGCAGGGAACATATTTATGAGCAGCGGTGATTTTCCAGCAGTTCTCATCCCCTCATAATGGGATGGGAGCACGGGGCCGGTGCCCAGGCATTAAGCTTTGGCAAGCAGCACCGGGCTGCAGGAAGAGCAGAGGAAATCTTCCTGGGAGAGCTTCCCACACGCCTTCTTCTCCGTCTTCCTTCTCCCCTGGGCTCCTGCCAAGCCTCCCTGTGGCCAAGCTGGGGTCCATGGCCCCTCTCCCCTCTCGGGAGCCGCTCCTGCTGAAGCTGAGCTTTCCCAGGGAATGGGAACCTGAGAGTCTGGAGAAACAGGGCTGCTCTTGCTCCGTGCTGAGCCGAGGTGCAGGGAGAGCTCGCAGGGCAGCACAGCTGATAACCTGGCAGAGCTTTGCTCCTGTCCTCTCCTGTTCCTCCTAGTTGTACCCTATCTTTAGCAGGCAGTAAAAGGAAATACTCACGTCCTGCTTTCTCCCAGGGGTCAGAACTCCTGACAACAGGAGCACACAGCAAGGATTCACTAGATCTGTCCTTCCCCTTGCAATAAGATTTCATGCTCTTACTCAGCTCTTGCTTACCCACCCCAGCTTTAAATCCCCAGCCCTTAAACGCCCCAAGTCCTTCCCTTTGTCAGCAGGAGAAGGACACAGCTGTGTTTGGTACTCCAGGGATGTGCTGGCACATCACTTGGAGATGCTGCTGCAACAGGCAGAGCACTCGGCGGGGGGAAGGCCTGGCTTCATCCCTGTGCTCTGACAAGGGGAATATAAATCCCTGTCACTGCAAGGGCTTGTAATTCAGCTGGAAACTATTCTGGGATTCAAAAGGGAGAATCTCCATGACAAGAGGAAGCATAAATCTCACAGGTGTTAGACACGAAGGGCTCCGAGTGCAGCTGGAAGGATCCAGAGCTGTGCTGTGCTGTGCTGGAAGGTTCCAGTGGTACCCGGAGGCTCCTGGAGAGAGCCTGTGCTGAGGTGGGTGCTGCAGCACTGCAGGGAGGAAGCAGAATTTACAGCCCAATTCCAGCCTCCAGCAGATTTACAGGAGACCGGAGACAAACAGCCTGAGAGCTGTGGCGTGCCAGGAGGAAACATAAAGGAGCCGTGTCCCCAAAACCGTTCATCTTTTCTCCTCAGAGGGCTGCAGGACAGAGGGCCTGGAGAGGGGCAGCATTCCCTGGGATTGAGACAGGACTGAGAGGGAAAAATCAGGGGGGGCAGCAAGAGAACACCTTCCTGGCTGGAAACAGCTGCTTTTCCCCATGAGCACTGCAGGAATGCCTGGGTCTCCAGACAGGGAACACCATTCCAATGCATGAGCAAGCAGATCTGCTCTGGAAGAACAGAATTCACTTTGTGCTACACATCCAATCTGTTTTTCTGGATAAAGGCCATCGAGGGCACTCCTAGGATTTCAAGAATTGGGAGTTTGGTGCGTGTGCAGCAGCTGGGATGAGCAGCACCCACTGCCCACCCCGACAATGTGATTATTTGCATCTTCATTCTGATTGCTCCTTGTTCCATAATGATTTTGTACACAGCGGAGTACTTAACCTAATTTGTATCGATCTCAATCGCTCTCATTTGTGCATACTTAATTCAGAGAGGTAATCAAATTGATTTCTGAGGCCTAGTTTTTAAGAGATTGTAGCAACAGGGATATACAAGAGGTTGCTTTAAGTGAATCACAGCAAAAGAGAAGCATTTTAAATCTTTGGAAAACGTTTTGATGGTCGTTTCATTGTGCTCAGGATTAAATTTGCCTCCCCCTGAGTCCTCCCCAGGATGGAATAGAGGAGCAGTGTTATTTGCAGCAGACAGAACCTGGGTTTGGGTGACTTTGCACCCACACAAACCTCACCGGTGGATCCACGGTCGTGCTTGCGCTGAGGAGCGGTGCGCAGTGAGGACACGCCGCTGGACCGGGGGAGTATCGGTCTCTGCTTGGCTCCTTCCTAGCACCTGCTCTTGGTTTTGTGGCTGCAGACTCACTTTTGCTGTCTGTAAAACCATCCAGAGCTGGAGAGGCACAGGAGCTGCCTTGGTGACGCTCCCGGTGTCCCGGTGAGTGACTCTGCTTCTCCTGGGGCTGCTCCAGCCCCTGGGACCCCTCCTCCTCCTCCTCCTCCTCCTCTTCCTCCTTCTGCTGCTAGTGACCTTCGTGTCCTCACCTCTGTGTCCCTCCTGGGGAGCCGAGGGAGGCCCTGGAGCATCCCTGCCCCACGCCTGAGGGCTCAGGGGGTGGCCTAGAGCTTGTAGATGTTTCTCAGGATTTGTGGCTGTTTGGAATGGTTCCTCTCTTGTGGGGAAGAGAAAGGAGAATCAGAGTCATTGCTGCAGAAAATGAGACACGTGAACTATGAGTAGGGAAGTTCGGTGTGATGATACTCGGGGTGTATCGGGTCCCTGCTCCCTCCTAATGCCCTTCAAGTCGTGGGGCTCCGCTTTGGCCCCCGCTAAGGGAGGCAGCGCTGACCCCAGCTCTGAGCGGTTCCTGTGTGGTTTCTATCAAAGACCATCTTCAAACCAATGCACAAGAAAAATTCTTTGTTTATTTTCGGTTTTGTGTTTGGGTTTTTTTTCACAGTTATGGCTTTCAGTTCTTGCTGGTTGTCCATTTTCTTCCATAGAACCTGTTCGGGTTTAACCGCAGCTAATAAATCAAATTGTGCTTAGAATCCAGATGGTCTCTTCCCTTCCTTCTGCTGTTAAAACCTTTCTCTTTCTTCCCGGAAAATCAGTTGATTTTATTAGAGTGCTCACCCCATTTTTCTCTGCTGAGAGATGCACGTCAGGTGCAGCGTTTGCCTTTGTGGGGCCTTTTCAAGAGCAAACTCAACAGTTCAAGGAAAGTATTTACTGAATGCATCAAAAAGCACATACCTCTGCATTATTTATTATCAGATACCAATAACTGTAGAACGCAGAGTATCTCAGGACATAAATTAGTGATGGTAGGAAGCGCTCTGCTCATCCCAGTGTCCCGGAACCGATTAGAAGCTGCGGCAGAGATGCCGGCGCTCATCACGTCCCCGGCACCGGGGACATGGCTCCTGGATTCTGGACACAGGGCCGAGTAAACCCAGCTCAAAATCTGCTCTTTCAGCTCCGACAGGCAGTGGGATGTTATGTGTGCAGCCAGAGAGCCCACACTCTTCCTCCTGCTGCCCCTGGGATAATGAGAGGCGATTGTGGCCATTGGGACACAGACTCCTCACCTTGCTGTCTCTGCCGTGTCCAGGCGGGAGCTGGTGCACAGAGCCCTGGGCTGTGCTGGGAACTGTCACCCACAGCCCCTGGCTGACCCTCAGGACCCTCCTCCTCCTCTCTGGGGTGTTTTGAGGTGTGACCTTCACCTCCCTCCCAGAGGCAGCTCTGCTGCAGCCGCTGGGATTTGGCGGCTGGGAGGGGTCAGCCTCAGGCTCTCCTACAAAAGGCTCCAGTTTCCTGCAGAAATGCTGCCAGGTCCTGTCCCTCACGGGAGGAGACATCAGTGCCACAGTGGCTGAGCCAGGCTCTGCACGGGTTAATTACAGACATTTCCACAGTCTGACTTTTACTTTTGGGCCAGCTTCATTTCACATTCCAGACCTGCAGAATTATTTAACAGGGATGCTAAAAACCCGCCCGCTTATCAATTCTCTGGGCTCATTTTGTCCCAGCACATTACCCAACCATGTCAACATATGGATTTTCTCTCTGTGCCCGGTGCAGACGGCTGGGCAGGCTATTTTTAAGTGTGGGTGTGCTCCGGCAGCGGTATTGGTTTCAGCACTGCCTGTTCTCTCTCTGCTAATAAATACAGAGCAGCTATTAATACCAATGGGTTTTAGGATCCATTAGCATCGCTCAGCGATGGTCCAGCACCGCTGCTCTGCCTGACCTGGCACTGAGGGTGCTTCTGCCCGGCTTCACCCTGGGGCCAGGCCCCGGGAAGGGGGACAGGAGCAGGAGCGGTGCCCTGGGGCCAGGCCCCGGGAAGGGGGACAGGAGCAGGAGCGGTGCCCTGGGGCCAGGCCCTGGGAAGGGGGACAGGGGGACAGGAGCGGGAGCGGTGCCCTGGGGCCAGGCCCCGGGAAGGGGGACAGGCACTGCAGCGGTGCCCTGGGGCCAGGCCCTGGGAAGGGGGACAGGGGGACAGGAGGGGGAGCGGTGCCCTGGGGCCAGGCCCTGGGAAGGGGGACAGGAGCAGGAGCGGTGCCCTGGGGCCAGGCCCCGGGAAGGGGGACAGGCACTGCAGCGGTGCCCTGGGGCGGTGGCACTGCGGGAGCAGCCGAGCCAGAGCCTGAGCCCTCGCTGGAATCCCCAGCAGCTCCACGGTGGCTTTTCCCCTCGGTGCTCACACAAAGCTGCTGCTAGCGGAGCTCTGCCTGGGGGTTCGCTTTGGGCTGTTTAAAGGGACAAATCCAACTGTTATTCCTGCCTATTGAGAGGTTTTGGGGATGGAAAAGCAACGGGGCTCGCTGGATTCCTGTGGGAGCCCCGCGGTCAGCGCGGTGCTGGCTCTGCCGGTGACACTCGCCCCCACCGTGTGACAGTGCCCGCCATCGGGCGGCTCGCGGGGTCTGTGGGCACCACCCTGACGCTTTCTCTCTGTCTCTGCCGCCCCCTCCCAGCCTGCAAACGCAAAGAGCAAGAGCCCAACAAAGAGCGGAACAACTCCCAGAAGAAATCCCGCCTGGTTTTCACGGACCTCCAGCGCCGAACGCTTTTCGCCATCTTCAAGGAGAACAAGCGTCCCTCCAAAGAAATGCAGATCACCATCTCCCAGCAGCTGGGCCTGGAGCTCACCACCGTCAGCAACTTCTTCATGAACGCGCGCCGGCGCAGCCTGGAGAAGTGGCAGGATGACCTGAGCTCCGGGGGCTCCTCCTCGGCCCCCAGCACCTGCAGCAAGGCGTGAGGGCGCGGCCCGGCGTGGCGCAGAGAGCGGCTTCGCGGCAGGGCCCCTCGCTGGGGACTTAAAGCACAATCCCCCCGCAACCAAGCCCAGCCCAGCTGGTCCCGAGGACATCCCTACGGCTTCTGGCCGGTCTCGGCAGGCGCAGGCTCCACTCCAACCTCTCTCCACACCGTACGATGCTCAGGACAGGCGAAGCAGGTCGGAAACGTAGGGGAGTCGTTCTTGAGGCAGGTTTCTCCTGAGCCCCAGGTTTCCGTGGCCTCCCGTGCCCGGCGCCTGCCGTGTGCTGGCCACACCACCCTGCGGCCACGACAACGGAGCACAAAGTCACATACTAAAAACCCAAGACCCTGCTTTTAAACTCAGGCATGGTTTTGTTAAGTGTTTTAGGGGGAAAAAAAAAAAATCAGATTTAAAGTTGTTTTTTTTTTTTGGTTGGTTTTTTAGTTGAAGTTAATCAGCTTGTTCTTGGATCAGAAAAGTTCAGTTCTCTTGAGCTCAGAGTATCAAGCACAAAGCCGTGGTGCGGCCCTGGGCTGTGCCAGCTGCAGCCTGACATCCCGGGAACAGCGGAGGCGGCACGAGCCTCAAGCACAGCTGGCAGCTCCTCACAAGCTCTGTGCTTGTACCTAATGCACACTCAGGAGGTCGATGGAGCTGCTACAGCTCACGGAGTGAACACAATGCTTCGGAAGATCTAGATTAATTCACATTATTACATCCTTTTTAGTTTCTGGGAATCTGGTTTCTCCTCGGCAACCACTGTTACCGAAACCTTTTGAGCGTTCCGTGTATTTTTGTTCATTTTATCAGTATTTTATGGTACTTTCAAGCAGGAAAAGAAACAGAAACAAGCCCTTCAGATGCCACTGACCGTTCCAGATGTGCCGCGTTTAGCTCTATCGCATCCCTAAGTTCCTTTTCCCTGCCGGCTCCCCGAGCCGGCAGGAACACAGCACACCAAAGAGACAGGATTTCTGCAAGCCAAAGATGTTTATAACTTGCCATTTCTCTTTGTCATGGCTGGTGTGGGCGGTTGGCTGGCGCTGGGGAAGCCTGGCGAGCTCCGAGCCCTCTCTCCAGCTCCGTGCAGCGGAGCCGCCCTGGCGGCGGCGGAACGGCCGCTGGCCCCTGAGCGGCCCGGCGCGGCCGTGCTCCGCTACAGACACTTGAGACTTTTTTATGTACTACTTAATCGAAACCAAAGAAACGTTTTCTGCACCTACTTCTTCTGCAACGAACTGTTCCATTGAAAGATAAAATAAAAATTTAAAAAAAAAAACAAGGAAGCATGTCAGGAAACAAACGAGTCCCACACTGTGTTCTACAGACATCTTGGACATTTTCGGAAGCAGATCTCAAAGAAAGGGTTGACAAGAATGAGAACAAAGCAAAGCCAGTACAATTGCTGCTTCATTTGACAACTCAAGTCGTCTTATAAAGTTGAAGATTGTCTTTAATTTGTGCCTATGCAGTTTTTTCAAAAGAACAAGGAACAGAGCAACCAAAACCTCAACAGCTACCATACCAAAGATGAGGATTCTCACCACTTGTGTTTGGGTTTGTTTCTCCTCTTGCACGACTAATGCACATAACCCACCGATCTCTGGACAGGTAACCGCTGGTGAGTCTTGGCGCAGCCAGAAGGGTGGGTTTATTTCTGTTCTCCCCGCTCCTGCCCCACACACATCTCTCCAAGAGCCGCGTGGACTGCGGTGCGGGATGTTGGGACGCTAGGCTGCTGCGCGTCCTCCCTGCAGGAAGCGCCCGTGGCTCGGCTGTGGCTCGTGTGTTGGTCTGGTGTGTGTCTGGGGCTGTGAACCCCTCCCGTGCGTGGCGTCGGTGCCGTGACCTCCACCCTTCTTCCTCTTGCCCAGGGCTAAAGCTTGCAATATGTGTGTGTTCCCATCCGTGTCACTGTGAGGGCTGAGCCCGGCTCCAAACCTGCGCCTGCCACAAACCCAACCGTTCAGCAGCTCGTGGGGCACTTCAGGAGCTGCTCCTGAGCCTCCTAATGTTTGATCTGGATCGTGACTTGTCCAAATTTATCCTCAGAGCCGGAGCGCACCTTGCTCCTCTCTGCCTTTAAACCAGGGCTTCATCTGAACTGCTCCACAGAACTGCTGCGGTCGCTTCCCAACCACTCAAAATGGAACAAAAAATCAAAAAGCCTCGTCTGCTCAGGATGGGAAAAGCTTCTGGAAAGCAAATTCAGGATCCTCACAGCTGACTTGACAGCATGTGCCTGCTCTGGGAATCAAAGGATCCTTTGGCAGAGCTTTCCAGGCAGATCCCAAAGAGATTTGGAGAATCCTTGTAGCCAGACACAGAAAAAAGTCACCAAGAAAGGGTCCCAATCTGAGCTGATGTGTTCTGAGGGCTGCTCACCCAAATGCCGGGTATCTGAGTGCGGAGTTTGGAGCTGGCAGGCTGCGGAGCAGGGCCCAGCCGAGGTGATGTGGTCATTCTCAAGTTTCATTCCCACCCGAGTGTCCATCAGAGCAGCCCCTGGAACAGAGCAGCGTTTGGAACTCGGCCTTGCCCTCAGGGGAGCTGTGCTGGGAGTGTCCCCCTGCAGTCTGCAGCGCTGGGGGATGATGCAGGAGCACTGAAAACGCCGGTGCTCACTCCTCCCCTCCCCTTCCTGCAGTGAGAGAAGTGTGTTGTGTCCCGGGCATCCTCTGAGCGTGTGGCACTCCTCGGGGGGCTCAGCTCACCTGGGGGACATCCAGAGTGCCGCAGCTCTGCCTCCCACCTGCCCCAGAGGCAGAGCTGCCCACGGCTTCTGGTGAAGCCTGGGAGCAAAGACCTGCGCTTTTTGCTGCTGCTCAGAGCTCGTCCGATAGTCCCAGCAAAGGGAGTTCAGATCGGGTACCGAATTCCTCACAGATTTCTGCTCAGAGAAGTTCTCTCCAAATCGTGGAAGCGTTTGTTACGCGACATTGCAGACCAGCAACACGCACGAGGCTTCTCTGGGCTGGGGCCTCGAGTCTACCGAGTCACGATCCATTTTCACCCCGAAATCCCACCGCATTTTTAATCCCTGCATCTCTCACGGCCCCGTGTGACGTCTTCCATTTCAGTGTCCGCTCCCGGAGGTTTTTATGTAGCAGCTCCCCCAGCCGAGGAGCGCGGGGGCCAGAGGCCGTGGTGCCGATCCTTGTCCGTGCCCCGGCACGCCGCACAACCGCGGCCAGCCGCGTGTCCGGGACGTGTGTGTCCGTGGGTCCAGAGACAGGACACTTCTGTGGGTCCAGAGAGGGGACACTTCTGTGGGTCCAGAGACAGGACACTTCTGTGGGTCCAGAGACAGGACACTTCTGTGGGTCCAGAGAGGGGACACTTCTGTGGGTCCAGAGACGGGACACTTCTGTGGGTCCAGAGACAGGACACTTCTGTGGGTCCAGAGAGGGGACACTTCTGTGGGTCCAGAGACAGGACACTTCTGTGGGTCCAGAGAGGGGACACTTCTGTGGGTCCAGAGAGGGGACACTTCTGTGGGTCCAGAGAAGGGGACACTTCTGTGAATCCAGAGAAGGGGACACTTCTGTGGGTCCAGAGAAGGGGACACTTCCCTGAATCCAGAGAAGGGGACACTTCCCTGAATCCACAGAGGGGACACTTCAGTGGATCCAGAGAAGGGGACACTTCCCTGAATCCAGAGAAGGGGACACTTCCCTGAATCCACACGTGTCCCGTAACTCCTGGCTGTGTTTGTGGTGCTGCTGAAGACCGGCGCGTACGGAGCGTCTCCACGAGCGCATCGTCGGGCACGGCCAGGACAAGCTGGACTTTGGAGAAACCTCGGGCATCGCTGGATCTCCCGTGCGGGAACAAAGAATGTGCTCAGTGACTTGGGTTGCAGAGCTTTATCGTGGATGTCTCTTACCTACAGCTGAAGCCAAAGACGCGCCGAGGACTCTGGGAGCCGCTCCCCTCCCGAGGGAAGGCTCAGGAACCCCACGGGATCCAGAGAGAGCGCGCTGCCTTCGGACACGGCCGGCGCTTCCCCTGCTTCTCACGGCTCCCGACTATTTCTGTCATATGGGGAAACTTTCTGCTTGGCCTCCTTTATATTTATTATGGGGAATTTTTTATTGGTTACATTTTTTAAGAAGGCAAAGCTTAAAATGGTTTTATTTTTTTTTTCCGGACACTTGTGGGTTTTAACCTGATATATTATTATCTATGGATAATGTAATTTATTTAATTTAGTCTTAGGGCAGGTCCTGAGAAGTCTGTCGAGTCTGAATCCCATTGTGTTCTGTTTAGCTTTTGAATTCTGTGGCAGTTTTGCCTGAATGTTGAAAGGGGGAATCAGGCTGTGATGTTTAGCTATTTGTATCTATTTAATTCAGCCGTTTTTGAATGCATTTGGGACTGATTTCCCTTGTTTTCCATGGGACTGTTGTAGCGCATCGGGGATGCGAAGCCCGTTAGGAAAAACGCTTCAGAGTTGGCATTGCTTGGTAGAGCAGCCAGGTTCTGTCAGACAGGGCAAGAAACAACTCGTCCCACTAAACAGAAATCTAGCTTTAATTCTTTCTTTGCATTAATTTTAATTGTTTAAATATCAAAGCTTAAATTATTTAAGTTATTATTTTCCCTCCCGATTAGAGTGCGTGACATACCTTTATTATGGCACATGAAACTTTCATAATAGAACTTATTTATTTAATTTATTCGTCGTCATCCGGGGATGCCCTTGTAGAGTTTTTATTTTTATTTAGAATTATCTATAAAGCGCTACAGCTGATTTCTGCAAGAACAGCAGAGCGAACTTTGAGGACAAGCAATGAATATTCAACCTTAAACTGTGCATTCAGAAAAACAGGAAAACCAAAAAGAAAACAAACCCCCCCCCAGAAAAAAGACACTGGGATACTTTGCCTGAACTTTATGGCTTCTGAAAACTAAAGCTGGGGGGAAAAAAAGCAAAAAGAGAGAAACCCTTAAACTAGCTGCTTCCAAGAATGAACTTCTGTGTGTGGAAAAAAAAA